TGTCAAATTATAAAATTATATCTACCCGCAATACGGAGCCGCTCAAGTATTATACTAAACGTTAACTTCATTGAACGACACAGCTTACAATGACACAGCTTCCAACAATTAGCTAACTAAAAACTACTTCCATTGGAACCATAAACCACCTCACATCCCCTGTGAAGGGGAGGAACATCTATTGTTCATTTCCACAATACATCACATTAAAAAAAATACTGTATAATAACAGATATATGACACGAACACTGTATAATGCTGTACATTGTGTCTTCTCACCTTCTTGCCCTTGTGGATAATAAATGCACTCTTATTCCTATACTAAAATAAATATATTAAATAATATGTGTACTATTGACCTTTTTATTAAGTGATAGTAGTCTTTCATATATTAGTAGTTTGAAAGAACTGCATTCTCTCCACAGCATAACAGTTACTGGAAGTAGAAACATTACTTTCTACAGGACATTGTGCGATTAAAGGTGGTCCATCTCCATTTTTGTTGTGAGATGGTAAGGAGTCTTTCCTTTGCGTATGTGTACAGTAGTTTGTAACATTGCTGGTCTCTGTTCTCACTTAGATTTCTCATCTAAGATTAGAAAAGTGGGAAGGCTTGAGAGAAAAAAAAATAGAAAAGTTTTACAAGGATTTTAAAAATGGAAAGAGAGCACTAGCTGGGAAGCCAATGGTGTGGTTCTAGGATGAACAATTTTGTTTTGTAAAACAGCCCTACTTTCTTTTTTAATATTAATTTAATATTTAACATATTAAAATGTACAATTTAAAATTAATAAAAGTCAAAACAGTATATACTTTTGCCACTATATTAATATAATGAGAGGTATATTAATATACGAGGAAATGTTTTTTAGTTCATGTAGGTAGCTGCATCAGCATGCGCAGGCTGCAAAGGAACAAGTAAAAGTAAAAGAAAATTCCATGCTGAAAAGAGAAGAAAAGAAAAACATCTTTTCATCTGTGGAACCTTCTTCGGGTGTGAAGAAGAGAGGCTCTACACTCCAAACCTAAAGAAGTCTCCACAGATGAAAAGTTGTTTCTTCTCTTTTCGGCATGTCTCTTAGATATTGCAAGTATTGGAAACAAAGTTCCCAACCAACTAAAATATACTCATATTAATTTTCAAGTTTTCAAAAGGCGCATTATCATTTACATTGGTGGTTATTTTATGGTAAATCACACTTAAAAGAAAAATTCTAGCGGGAAGTATATTTTTGAATGACTTGTTGTGCTATAGTCTGTGTCGTCTTCTAACAGCTGATTTGAATTAGCACTCTGAATTGGATTCAATATATTGACTTTAAGATGGTTTTGCCAACAAATACCACATACTGTACTTGATAACTCCCTTTGAACATTTGTGGTGTAAATTGTCTGCTGCACAACCTGTACATATTAGATACTTCACTCATTAAGTGAACTCATTAAGAAACTTGTTAATGGGACCAACATCAGTGCCTATGTTTATTACCCACCTCTTGGCTTGTCAGATCAGCCCTGACCCTCAAAATTAGACCTCTTGGAGGAATCAGCAGTGTAATCATGCACTTAAGAGAATGGTAAACACTTATAGTATGATTATGTTGTGGTTGATAGCAAAAACAAGTTAGCCCTTTATATGATTTAATTACATTATGATGGGATTGAGGATTACATCAACTTATGATATCATTGAGGCTGCCAGTAAGTAAAATAAATTGTATGCTTATTAAAGTACTGTATATGCATACTGTTTATTTTAATAAAATATTGACTCAAAAATAAGGCAGAGATATGACTTAGTAAATGTGACACCTAGCATTAAGGAAAATTCTGAAACACTCATAACCTGACCTTGTGAGAGCTCGCAAGCTCTGGACCTGGACAATACTGGGATGGGAGACCTTAAAATGAATCGAGATTTTTTCTGTCAGTGGTTTTTGCGTGCCAGTAGATGTCTCTCTTCCCCCAGATCAGAATTTCTAGACCCATGCTCTCGTAAAGTGACTGGGGACACTCTGCTTTAGGAACTTCTATCCATTGACTGTAACAATAAACCAAAGTCTTGATTAGATGGCCATTAATAATCCCATGGTAATTTTCAAAAGAGTATTGGTGTTAACTTGTTATGCTGGCAAGATTTCATTCTGGCCTTGAGCAACCTATCCTGCATAGTTCCCCTTTAACTGGCGAAGGAGTTTCTCACAGCCCCTCCTGCTCTGTTGTGTAGTGTGGCTGCTTTGCTTCAGCCAGATCATATTACACTTCTTCTGACTTCTGAGATGAAAACATTATATAAAGTTAAGCACTTATTATCATTTTTGAAAAAAAGCTACCACTAGAGGGGGTGAAAGGATCAGTGTGATTGTCTCTGCATCCATTGATTTTCCTTTGATCCATTGATTTTCCTACACAGTTTACCTGGTAACCAATTGTCTTTTTATGAATGCTATTGTTTAGCCTACCAATTTCTACAGACTTTAGAAAAGGACTAAAGAAAACTTGTTTCCTTATGGGTCAGTATAGAAAATACATGTGTTAATATCTTTTTTAACGAAGTCCAGTTCCGGTGTACAGTATTTCTATAATGTCTGAATTGGGGTGTAGTAAACACCTATATGTCTCTCCTGCTAGGTTTAGGCTATACCACTCCATTCAAAAAGTATAATACAAATTACAATAGACTGCAGTTCTCTTTTGTGGTCTGAAAACAAGGCTGAACAATATGCTGTACTGCATTCATAATATGCTGCTAGGTAACTGCATACTATACTTGGCATGCCCCAGTGAATACGTACGAGCTTTAAAAATGTCTGTTACATTAACAGTGCAGCACTTTTATCAATTTGTCATACATTGCTGAACAAAAACGATTGAATCAAAGGTGAAGACAACACCTCCCAGCTTCATTCCCCAATTACATAATATGAAGGAGCCTGTATTTGATTGTGGGTAGCATTGTGGCACTGTGGTAAATATTGCTTACTTACAGTGCTGTGACTCATGCTTCAATTCTGGACCTGTGGTGCTATTTGTGGGGAATTTCTTTATGTGTTTCTGTGGGTTTTCTCTGGGTGCTCTGGTTTCCAAAAACATACTGGTAGGTTAATTGACTTCTAGGAAAATTGACCCCGGTGTGTATGTCTGTCCTGCAATGGGCTGGCATCCTGTCCAGAGTGAATCCTGCCTTGTACCTGTTTCTTGCTGTGTTAGGCTCCGGGGTCCCTGTGATCCTGAGTTGGATGAAGTGGATAGGAAATGAATGGAAAGATTGATAAAAGTAATTCATTTGCTTTACATTTTTTCTAATGCAATTTATGATTGTACCAATGTATACAGCTAGCCATTCTACTAAAAGCAATTTTAGTAAAGTACAGTACCTAAATGTAAAACAGCATTATCTCCTTTGGAATTTGAATACATAATCTTCCAATTCAGAAACTCCTAACTCCTGCTCTACATTGTTCCCGTGAGTATTAAATATACCTATACAGCATAACATGTTTAATGTTTTTTAACTAAATCACTATAGAAAATGTTGGGTATTTACTACATCCATAATAGTAAATCCATTCTTCTACCACAGTAGATAAGGAATACTGCGCATACATACGCTCTGGATACGTATGTGCGTGCGTGCTGAAGTTTAACAGTAATGAGCATGCGCTGAAGCCTAGTTGTGTCATAGCAACCGGGGAGAACAACATGGTGAGTGAGACCAGTTAGGGGCTCCGAGCACAACAAACATTGACACTCATATCGCTGTTTGTAGAAAATGTTAAATATAATTATATATTAATTACATTGCAATAATAACTCAGTGTAATGTTGGGATTAAGTAGATAAATAAAATAAACGCTTGTTACCTGTATTAGAATAACCCTGCCTGTCTCATAAGACATAGCTAGGAAAAGTGTACAATGCTCAGATTGTACCCGAATTTACTGAGGATACACGAAAAAATCGTTTTATTTACTTTGGTCTGTTATAGAAATGAACGAAGCAGCATATTTGTCATTACCTTGCAGTAGTATCTTTGTAAAAACAGTTGTCAAGCCAAGCGTGTACAGACGTTTACAGTTTTGGATGCTCTCAAATACCTTCGTATACTGTATGTTTCTCTCAAACGACTGCATTGCTGCATAAGAAGAAGTGATGTTTTTGTGTGTGTGTGTGGTGGGGGGGCATCTACGTTTTATATCCTTCTTTAAAAATGTAGCATCAGTCACTGGGCTGTTAACATTAGAGGTATCTATGGAGGTTTGAGGTTTAACTGCTTTTTATTTTTTAGTTAGCTTTTGTTGATCAATTAATGTTCACTTAGCGACCACAAACATTTAGTATGGCTGAACGATTCTGTTTACTACACAATTTTGGAATGGGTTGATACATAAGTTCCTTGAAAACGTATTGCATATATTTTAACTTTTGCATACAGACATAGTACTGTTACTATGAAAGAAGCACATTTTTTTAGTTTGTCTTTGTAGTTGCAGCCTTGACTTTTGACCTTAGTAAAGTGGCAGTGAATGTCATAACTTGCTCTAGGACTAACAATTGTGGTCTCTTAAGTGGGACTCCTTGTCAAATTGTTAGTGTTGTCTGGAAATGAAATGCCAGCATACTTTTGATATTGAACATGCTCAGATATTGCAGCACTTTACAATGAAAGGCCTCTTTGTCCACCACTAGGTGCACTGAATCACTTGCTGATGTCTCTCAGTAACCAGAACAACATGTTGTTTACTAGGTAGACAATTTGAGACACCATCTAGAGAAATCTCAGAAAGTTGACTCATGTCTTTAATGCGTAATATGTGAATTTCAGTAGACGTCCATCTTTAGTTTTAATCTTTATGTGTTCACTTTTTAATTTTAAGATTTCAGTTATTTCTAATGATATTCTGTTTTGAACCTCATTAATCACCGTGGTCTGTAATGTTGTGAATCTCTTTACCAGCTATTTTTTTCTTTGTGGCAAGCCAGACAGGAAAAGTACCATTCGCTGAAAGGGAGATACAGCCTACTGTACTTCTCCCATTGACAATCTTACAGATTCATGAGTGCTCATGAAGTCTGAGGTTTTTTTACTGATATCATAGCTAACAGCAGCCTACACAACTCTGGCAGTGCTTAGCTATTGTTTTCCATTGTAATGTGAGGACTCCTGGCCACAGCACATTAATGACAGGGCACATGACTGACCTACTGTAGTAATGTATGGTTTGCAGAGGGTTCAGCCTGCTTTACTAAGAGTTCCTGATGTTATAAACATTGTAAGTATTGAATAGCCCCCAGGAAAAAAAGTGTTTTCTTTTGATTTGGGGGCATGCTTTTCAATATACCATATACTGTAATGTATGATGCATACGGGTAAATTCTAATTTCCACACTACAGTTGAGGTTTTTTAGTGAACTTTATTACCAACATTTTTGGAAGCAGAAGCTTAGAAACATCTCAAGGAAAAAGTGATTATTCTTGTACTTATTCACCAAACAGACATTTTTTTCTCTTTTTAAGGCCAAGGCAACAACAATAAAAGAAGCACTCGTAAAGTGGGTAAGTGAAGTGGTGAAGCATATCCCTTATCAAGGACTGTACTATGTATTTTCTTTTTATTGTTAACTGTAATGGAGTGTATGTTGTATTAATAAACAGGTGATAGATGTAATACAGATTTTAACTGAGGAACTGGTGATGATTTGCTAATTTTCACATGTGTGATTAATTATTATGCATAAATAATAATTTGCAAAATACAAAAATCTACATCTGTGGATGTAGATGAGGATTCCCGTATACCACGTGGAGAAGTTCACTGAATTAAATTTCTTCTGAAAACTATATTGTAGAACTTCCAGTACTGACACTCATTGCACCATTTTTTCTTAGCCTCCCATCTCTCACGTGAAAATTCCTCCCATTTCCTACAGTATATAGACATAGGTAGGAAAGTAGAACACATCTGAAGAGTGGATGTTTTGAGCTGCATTTGCAATTAGAGACATTTTTCATTTATTGCTACCACTGTATATTAACAATATCATTGAATGTGACAGATGCATTTGTCTTGTGTGATTTGCACTTATACAAGGTATTTAATAAAAAGAAAAAATCCAACCATAAGGTACTTTTGTTCTTACTCAGTCTTATTCTGCAAGTCCCAATTTTCTGTAAGTAGTCCCTTTTTGTTTTGTTTTTTTGCTGTTTTTTTCTTGTTCCTGCTTGTTAAAAAAGGTGTTTGAGAAGAATAAGTGCTGGAGAGTGTTGTCTTCAAGGTGCTTTTCAGCTTGATTTTGAGGCATGGTTTTGAAATAATCTGAAGTGATAATAGCAAGAAAATCTGATTCACTGTTTATAATGCCAAAAATACACCCTGGAGAGAGAAAAACTTTTTAAACATTTATTTACTGTTTTAGAGTAAAAAGAGCTACAGTATATATTTTAAAGTATATATTTCCTATATATATAAGATTAACAGATGCTAAACCTGTGAAATTTTAAGGAAAAAGCCCAAAAGCAAATGGCTTCATTCACTGTCCTAATACTAAGTGATGACCAGCAAATTTTCTTTGTTTTCCAGCACAAAATGAAAAGGTTAAATTCCATGCATACTTTACAGTGGTGTTTCATGGTGTTTCAATTATGACTTCAATTATGGCATAGTGGTCATTCCTTTGTATTGCACACGTAGTGTTCTGAGTGACATCACTCGTTCTCGAAGTGGGCCTAAATGTGCCTTCTCCAGACTTCTCCCAGATTTTTTTTTAAATGATTGCAAATTGTATTCCTGATTAGTAAACAGATTAAGGACAGATGATTAATTTGAATAAGGATTATTCTGTTTAATTAAATGCAGATTGTATTCATTTTTTCATTTTTTCATATAGTGCTCTGCAATTGTTAAAGAACAAATCCCAAACTTGTGGCCAAACTGTAAGTTTCTTTTCTCTTAAACAGGAGGAGAAAGCAGGTGAGAAAGTAGGAGAAGCAAAGGCAGTGAAACTGTATGGACAGATTCCTCCCATTGAAAAGATGGATGCCTCATTATCGACTTTGGTAAACTGCGAGTGAGTATATTGTATGATCGGTTTCTCAGAGCAGATCTAGTTGCCTTAGCCTAATGTTTCACGTTGCTCAAGCACTATGTGTTCACCTGGGTTTCAGTTGTTGATCACTATGGCACAACTAGTCATTTGCTGGCCAGCCAGTCACCTAGGCTAGACTATCCAGAGCAGGCAGTGACTAAATGGAATACTGTGTATTCAATTCATTTTGAGGGATTTGTAATGAAAGAGATTTGTGTGAAGCCCTGAATTCTCCATTTAGTTTGACCTTTGATTTGTGGCTGGTACACTTTTATTTCATGAATGTTCTATAACATGGTGTGCCTCTTGAAAATGAGCTATGTAAAAGAACTACAAGCATGCACTTTATTGCTTTCTCAGTCCACCAAAATAGTATTGAATAATGATGAGTACCACTTAATTGTATTTTCTTTGTAACTCTTATTTTCTACTAATCCTCATCAAGAAATGACAAAGTTAGTTACAATCACTTTTCATTTGAGTGCACATTCAAGGTATTGCATGTTATTTTACCTTATACGTAAAAGCATACAGTGGTAGAGTGGTGACACTTAAGTAACAAAATTGTTCGTTCTGTTTAGGTACGGTTTTCTTGTATTTAAATAGCTAAAAAAATGTAAGAGACAGTGACGGTTGCAATTTCTAGAACATTTGTCCATGACATCTCCGCATAAACTTCTATGCGGAATTATTATAATTTTATTATATATAAGCAGTAATATATATAATTCCCTTGCCAAATGTGACCTTTTAACATTTCTCTAATAAAATTCCTGTTTTATTACTCTTTCAAGGAAAAAATGTGATTGTTTATATAAAAATGTAGAAAGGTTACCGTAGGTCAAAATATTCATATTTTCTTTGATTTTCACTTAATACAGGAAATTATCACTGTCAACAAACTGCATTGAAAAAATAGCCAATCTCAATGGACTTAGTAAGTATAAACTGTGCAAAAGTAATATTCATCTACCATACATGTCAGCATCACTGATTATGCAATGAAATAAATCTTTCCTTACTTAAGATCAAAATAACCCATATTTAATGACATACAGTGGTTTCTGCTAAGGGAAGCTCCCATGCCATTAGCCCAAAACATAACGTCCAATTCCCACATTTAAATGAACTGTAAAGCTTTTCTGCTTTTGATGAGCTCTGTTGTACATGAAGCATCCACTGTTTTTACTTAATTATTAGCTTGAGCACATAAAATGAATGTGTACTTAAACACATAAGTATGTTGTTTTATTTCTGTTATACAGTGATAAGCACGTCATAGAGAATATAAATTTCACAACCTGTTTCAGGGTAGCTTTTGAAAATTAGTATGTTATATTGATTCCTGGTTTTAACTGATGCTGTCTTCTGAAAGAACAGTAATGGTAGTAATTAAGCAGTTAAGTGAAAAATATCAAACTGTAATGCTACATCTGTTTTGTTATTAGTTTACTTCGCTGAGCAGGTCAAGTGAGGGTAGTAGTAAATATTATGTTTTGGACTTTTGGACTTTTGAATGGACATTCTGTATTTTATTTGACCAAAATCATTGTTCTTAAAGCAAATGTTTTAACCTTTTTTTAATGAATGTGATGATTAGGTACTTAAATAGGGTTTCTGTCATAGATAATCTATGACAGTCTTGGACATTCTTTAGTAAGTAACGTCTTGGATATGTCCTAAAATAAATGTATTTAAGCAGTTAATTTTGTAGAATTGGATATAGATGATTTAATGCATACCTACTGGTTGCTTACACTTTGCTTTTTTCTCTCCTAGAAAATCTACGAATATTATCATTGGGGCGGAACAATATAAAGAATTTAAATGGACTGGTAATTTCTTTTTCTGGTAATTTGATTGTATCAATTAACAGTTAACATTGAAAAAGCAAGGGCAGATAATTTAAAAAACTGTGTGTATTGATCCTTTATATAATGTTTTCTGAGTCATGCAGTATTGGATACTTAATTGGGTGTTTTATTATGTTCTTGCTTTTTGTATGCATTAAATATCAAACAAAATATAAACCAGACATTAATGTGTGAGGCTGCATTAGATATATCCTTATGGAACAAAAGTGAAAGTAAGCAGGAGTTAACCCATCCTGATACTGGATACTTGTATCAGAATATCGACTGGCATCATGTAGATAGTCATCAGGAATTGAATAGTCATTGTTTTCAGCAGTCACTAATCCTTCTATTTCACACTTCTTTTCTTCCCTGCAGGAAGCAGTAGGTGATACCCTGGAGGAACTCTGGATTTCCTACAATTTGATAGAGAAACTGAAAGGCATTCATGTGATGAAGAAGTTGAGGGTCCTGTACATGTCCAATAACCTTGTGAAAGAATGGGGTAAGCCAGTAAATAGTTGTCTCCATGCTCGATTAGATTTTAATTTGCAATTTAAAAGTTTAGATTTAAATGTTTTATATTTTTCATTTTTACACCCACTGAATTTGAAATCTCCAGTTAGTTCTTTATGTCCCTGCTCACAGCAGTGGTATTTGAACAATAGAGCTCAACCTATTCTAGGAGTAAATTACTTTTCTGGTTGAGTTTGCCGAGTTATAAGTGACCCCTGTAAAATTTTATAGTTGATCTTCAAGCCTCCAGATTTTGGGGTCCAGAAAACAATTTAAAAAGTCAGATTATTAATTCAAACAAGGGCTCAGTTAAGTTTATCAAGTGAGAGCACAAGTAGTATGAAGAAGAAACTGGGATGGGAGAACCCAGACTAATCAAGGCAAAGACAAGCAGTCAATAAACTAAAAGGAATCAATTAATTTCCTTTAGTATACTGAAATAATAGAAAAGAGCAATAAGTCCAAAATGTCACGTTTTTTCAATGTGAAATGGCTACCATAGAAGCATAAATTGGTAGTTTAGAGTTACAAATCCGTTGTTAACTTTTACTATTAAAATTGTAACGTAATTGGAATGTGACTTTGCAGTATAATGGGATTGGCTGAGAACTATGTTGTTCTCAGCCAATCCCATTATACCAAGACTTTAATCATATCCTGCCAATCACTTGCCTGTATCAGTAAATTATTCTTTACTGTATGTTATTTCAGGGGAGTTCATCAAGCTGGCAGATTTACCTGCTCTGGTGGATCTAGTGTTTGTAGGAAACCCCCTAGAAGAGAAATATTCTGCTGAAGGCAATTGGATAGAAGAGGCAACCAAGCGACTTCCTAAACTAAAGAAACTAGATGGTAAGTTTTAAGTAGTTACATTTTTAACTAAAAACAAAATCCATATTTAAACACCAGTGTATCCAAATAATGGAAAAATTGATTAACCTAGTTATAGTATATAGATATTTTAATAAATAAGCAGTCAATTATAGAACTGTCAAATAATGTAGAAAGTCACTGGTTTCAAGCTTAGCTTGACTGTGTAACTGTGTAACTGTTTTTGGTGGCACTGCAATGTGTTGGAGTGTGAACTTCAGTGCCCTCCATAAGTCTTCAAAATGGCTATTTTTTCTACATGTATATACTCAAGCAGTTTGTATTTGAGATGAAAAGATAAATAGGAGGCAAAATTACAGAATGTCACATTTTCTGTGTTTCTCTACATATATGCTTTTTTTAACATTTTAGAATAATACTAAGTTTTGTGTTCCGTCCCCCTATTTTAGTAAGTATTGGGACAAATTAAATAACCAATGAAGTAAATTTAAGTAGAATAAAATGTATTCGACCAAAAATTTGGTTGCAGATCTTCTGCACAAAATAATTGCATCAAGCCTGTGGCCACTGCCATCACCAAACTCTTGGTTTGTTCTTATGAGATGCTTTGCCAAGTATTTGCTGCAGCCATTTACAGTTGCTGTTTGTCTTGGGATTGTTTCTGACTTCAATTTCCTTCTTAGCAAGTGAAATGCATGCCCGATTGGATTTAATTCAGGAGATTAACTTGGCCAGTCTAAGACTTTCCACTTTTTTCTCCCCGATGAACTCCTTCATCATTGATATGTCATTGTATTGCTACAGTACATGATGAATCACCAGCCAATGAGTCTGCAGGCATTTTCTTGTACATAGGCAGAAAAGATGTTTACAGTATGTACACTTTTGAAGTTATTCTGCTGCTACAATCATTAGTAACATCATCAATAAAGATGAGTCAGTTCCAGAAGCATCCATGTGTGTCCAAGCCTTGACTACCTCCCCATGTTTCACAGATGAAGTGGTATGCTTTGGATTATCTGCAGTTCCTTTCTCCACTTTCTTTCACCTTACCATCACTTTGGGAGAGGTTTATCTTTGGCTGAGCTCTCTCTAACACTTTGATGTAGAACTCATCTAGTGGCTCATCACTGTACTTTTAATCAAATTGTAATCTGGCCCTTTTATTTAAAAAAAATCACATCCTGATGGGAGGTTTGTGTCTTCATAATTCTGTTGTTGCAGTCTTCTGCAAACAGTAGATTGTGATATCTTCACCTCTGCACTGTGAGGGTTGCTGGTGATTTTAGCAACAGTTGTTTTAGACTTTTTCTTCACAGCATTGATACTTTTACCATGATCAACTGTTTTCCTCAACTGACCTAGTCATCGCCGATTGCCAAGTATACCAATGGTTTCTTTCTTTTTCAAGATATTCCAAATTATTGATTTTGCAATGCTATGCATTTTCCAGTTTCATGCTTATTTAATTCTTCTTTTCTTTCATCATCCAAATTGCTTGCTTTTCTTTCACAGACAGTTCTCTAGAGTCCATGTTGGTTTAAGTCTGCTGACTCCTAAGGCAGACTCCAAAGGGTAGAGCAAAGGTTCAATCCAACACTACACATTCACTGATCTTTTATGTGTACATAATCAATACAACAGGAAATTCCTGACCAATAAGGAACACCTGGCAGCTAAGTGTCCCAATACTTACTCTCATCTGATATGGGGGGATTGAACACAAAAAATGCTATTATTCTAAAATGGCACAACATGTAAGTTGTGACATCATCAATATCGCCAAATATCACTAATACTGTGGAAACATCACTAATATGTGGAAAACACTGGAGTGGAAATTTGGCGCATTCAGAGCACATAGCAGCTATACATATACAGTATACATGCACCATTACATGCATATACATGCATATACAGTATACATGCACCATTACATTTCTAGCCAAGATAAGATTTGACTTATCTTATCAATTAATTGTGGTAAGTAATTAAAGATCAGAGGTGGAAAGAAAACCAAATGCTTCTTCGTACCTTAAGCATTGAGATTTTCTATCCCTAGTTTACTATATCTTACTATGTCAGTAAAGTTGTTCTTAAACGCTCAGAAGCAAAAACATTACAAATTAGATGGTTGTTGTAAGTGTATGATCCACTGGGCACTAACAAAGTCATTAACAAAATCTACATGATGCCAGTCAATTTCTTGATTAAGAGAATACCACTATAAAATATATAGCTCTTCACCATTCTCCTTCATAATTGGCCCTTTTCACTTCATATAATTTGCCCATAGAGGACATTATTAGAAAGAGAGTTAGTCAGAAGAGCATGTTGATTTGGCACTGCTGTAAAAGAGCAATATTTTGGCAGTATTGTAATACTACCCCAGGCAACATCACCAGATGGCAAGCACATTGGTTCCCATGTGTGAGCCTTACACTTATGCTGTGTTTCCTGGTGTGGGCTACTAGTCACATTCAGCATTCCAGTAGTACAATACAGGATCTGTGGTCAACAGTGGCCAGGTCCAATTTAAGCATGCTCCAGTAACATGACTCAAATGAATATGGATTCAAATGTGTGCGGTCTCATTTCTACAGAAACTTACATCTAAGTCATTTTTCATAGACAAGTGACTAAAATTTGAAGGAGTCCTTTTTTAATGATTGAAGATGCAGTAGTGGCACAGGGAATATCAGATCAAGTGTCGTCTTTGGGGTCCTACTTAATCATGGAAATTGCAAATCCCAAACATTCAGCTGCTAACACAATATACAGCACTGTACCATGCAAATGGTACCTCTGCATGTTACAGATTCTCTGGAATACATTGAATACATTTAAATATAAATAAATACATTTAAATTAAATATAGACATAAAAATGTGAAACAGCAAGCACAGGTGGACCGGGTTCTCCTTGTCTGAGTTAAGCATTATATTTTTCATAAAGAGAATGTACATTATAGCATAAATGAACACCTTCCACGTCCATTTCTATTTGTACTTAACCTGATGATTAAAACCAAATTAATGTCTGGGTCTTTAATTTCAGTGAAACAAATTAATAGTGTACATAATATGCTTTGGTGTGTGGTGGTATTTTTTGTTAGGTCTCTGAGACTATGTGACTCTGTTATCCAACCATTGTACTGAAATTATGGTATTGAAAGCAATGCCAGAATACTTCTAATTAATTTCTGGACATGTAAGAAGTATTTCAGACTTTTTTTATTATTTTAAGTGGGTAGCACTTTATTTGAATTTGATTTTATGTACGTACAGTATCATGACATTTTGACTGAACTGCTGATTGGTTTACCAGACAAATTTGTTTGACCTCAAGGATATGATCATGACTTGTTTAACTCACTTTTCATTCTTCTGATAACCTAGTTTAGCTCTTTTTTTGCCACATGCTGTGTCAAAGAACTGCTGACAATATTGTTTAACCATAAAATAGACAATACAAACATTTGTATACCTTCTTAAACAATATATGTTAAAGTTATCTAAAACACAAGCAATGTTAAGTACTTTTCTTAGCCAGAATTAGATCAATTTAATCAATAATGGTAATTATGGTTTAAAGATAATTGTGCTACTTGAAAAATAAATACCACAAAACTTCAGCCATAATCATACACAATTCTGAATGTTATTAAAGGGTGAAATGTAACCTCTGTTGAGGTGTTTTGCTAAACCTGTACAGTATGTTCACATTCAAGTAAAACATGACCAATAAATATCAGACTGCTTCCACTTTTATCAGTGATGAAAAACTATGTAAGACTTGTTTTCAATGTTGGAGTATTGAGTTGTCCGTTTTCAGCAATGATGTAAAAATTGATAAAATGAAAGGGGCCAAAAATGGTTCAGTATTATAGTCAAGCACATTGATGGATAACCATGTGGCAAGGCTACATTAAATAAATACATTAAATAAATTAGCTTGATCTGAACACCAATATGATTCCTCAACCAATATATTCATTTTCTTTAGGAAACCCAGTTATCAAACAGGATGAAGAGGAAGGAGATGGAGAAAGCTAATTAAAAGCCGTGGCTTAAAATCTTTTTTTATGTTATGTTTAAAGTTTTTTTTATTATTTTTACAGTTTTTTTTAATTGTTATAGCACCAGTACACTTTCATTGGACACTCCATGACCAATTGGTCTTTTTGCTATTTATAAAATATGTATATGGAATCAACCAACTGCACTAGAGGCCTGATTCAAGGACAAGGAACAAGCAAGTATTAACTATTTGGTGTTCTGTCAACTCTCAGCTAGTTCAGGAAGCATTAATTTAAAGAATGCACTGTTTTTTTCTGGTCACATAAGCACATTTAGCATAAACTGGATACACCAGTTTCAGTATCACTTTTGATTTACATGTCTGGATGCTGTAATCAGTGAATTTATAGAAATGGTTGCCTCTTACTTACTTGAACAAGATTCGCTTTCACAGCAATTTCATATGCACAGTAATCTACCATATGTTAGTTTTGATAAATGTGCTTAAATTAAAATATTGAGTTTCCAGTGACACTTCAAAACCCCAACATGTCCAGTTTGATTTATTAGAGGCATATCATAAGCAAAATGTGGTTTGGGTCATGACTATTTTTTCCATTATTGACTATGAGAGTAAAGGCTGCTCAAAACTACCTTTTATGTTTATGAAGACAGTTGGCATGGATCAATTTCTCCATGTTGCAGCAAACCTGACTTTCACGGAGCCTAGTAGGGGTCAAATTTTAGTACATTGCTACAATGTGCTGACTGTATTATGCTTCTGTCTTGAAGCTTGTGCTGGTTTAACCTAGTTAAAGGACAACCTCACTGTCCATCATTGGCATGTACAAATTTACTTAATGTGTACAACAGTGATCAAAGAACCTCTAAAGTGAATGAAAAAGGTGAATCACTTTAGAGTTTTACAGTGAATGCAGTCTCATCTTTTTTTTTTTCTGTGAACATGTCAGGAATGACAAATGTAGCCCATGTTCAAAGCATGGTTGTCTGTTAAATGGGATGGAATGTACAACACATTTATGACATACTAAACACACTGTTCAATTCACATAAGTTTAATTCCTACTTTTTCACCTTTTATTACAACTTATTAAGGAAGACCTTGGGGTGTTATCCTGCCTACTGTCAGTTAAATGGTGTTTCACTTTGGTGCACTGCATTAACAAATGTCTGAGAGCAAGAAAAAAAGTTTATTTTGTGAAAGAAAAAAAAATCTATAGAATTGTTTACTTGTTAGATTGAAGAAAATATTATTTATAAAGTGATTTTTACTGGCTTGTAATAAATTATTAGATGAAGTATTTGTATAAATAAATATACAAGTTGAATGGCTATGTAAATAACACAGGTTGGATTGCTAGAGTGATCTATGTTCTATGTTTACATTAAATGTTTTTAAATTAACATTGTTCTGTGTTGTTTTTTCCTTGCATTCTGTAAAAAATGCAGTAGGTTATGTCATTTCTACATAGATTTAACTTTAAATCATTATTAAGCAGCATTATTTAACTTTGTTTCCTATACTGTTTACTGAAAAATAATCTTCAGAGGTGATCAATTTAGGTCCTTTCACCTGCAGTGACAGACACCTTTATACTCTTAAATTACCATAAAGTCTTTAAGAATTTTAACTAAGTGGCTTTAAAAGCAAGTGTTGAAATCTGAAAGCCCTACTGAACCAAAAGATCTGTATTATTTTTGCTAAAGTACAATATCTATTTCATAGAAATGTTAAGTGTCAATGCATGTATTTAATATTTGAAGGTTTGCTCAGAGAGAAAATGAAGCTTTAAAGAATGAGACAGATATATAAATTGAACATAATTTTATTTCTGTAGAAAATCAGTACAATATTACTACCATAGGAGGTGTTGTGTAAACCAGTGATTTTTTGTATTCTGAATTAAAAGACCCCAAGGTAGAAGTGTATCTGAAATACTTTGTGTTGAATTTAGAATATAATTGTCAAATGCCAACTGTTTATGTTTGAGCCATAGGCACTACAATACAGTAGTTAAGTTAGTTAAGAATAAAATGCAAGAATGTAAGAAAATGCTTTTTGTCTGTGGATTATTATATAATACTGCTGTGTATCCAGTATCCATATTAGCCTGTATAAGTACAGCTGTTCATATATTTTGTATCAAACTTTGTTTGATAGCTGCAGGTAATATCAAAACATTATGTAATTTTAAACAGTTACTTTATGTTATAGCTCTTATTTAAATTGCTTTCCCCAGATAATCACACTTTGGGCTCTTGGGCTGTTATATAAGATGCATTCTATAGGATGTATTGCTGACAGAATCTACACCATTTTTTTGTATGTCTGTAAATGAAAATCCACCCTTTGTTAAAAAGTTTGAAATATTTAGTTCCTTGTTGTGACTTACATACAGCAGCAGTTCATTAAACAGAGGTAGTACATACAGCTGTATAAAAGGAGTCCTTTTCTTTTGATATTAGATTTATTCTCTCCATAGAATTACAATAACTACGCTATATTATTAAATAATCAATGTTAAAGATATTTCACATGCTGTTCATAGTTTTAATAAAGACTTTTCATTTTGTTAAAACACAAAACTTTTTTAAGTACTTAATGATTCTTTCAATCTCATTTCCTGATACAGTACATTGATTTTGTATTAGAACAATATTTTCTTGTTTTAATATTTAATATATTTATAATGATGTTAAATACAATGTGTATTTAAACTTTTCCATCTGTCCATTTTCTAACTGTTTTATCTAATACAGGGTTGTTTGGTAGTGAGATCCTGGCCCAGCAAGTAACAGGAGCAAGGCATTATAAACCCTGAAAAAGACATCAGTCCATCACAGAGCACTTATACTGTAGACACAAATACTCACACCAGGGCAAGTTTTTTTTCCACAGAAACCAATTACCCAGGTGAACCACAGCCTTTGACACCAGTATGTCTTTAGACTGTGGGAAGAAACCAGAGCACCTCGAAGGAATCCCAAGCAACCAAGGACAGAACATACAAAATCAACACCGATAGCAAACCAGTTGTGGAATTGAACCAAGGGCCCCAGCACTGTGAGGCAGACATGCTAACCACTGTGCCACTGTACAGCCTTTTAAACAGTCCCATTTTCAATAATATTTTGGCGCCCTGATTGATCAGTGTGTCTAAATTACCTTCCATATGTACAGTGTGTGGTCCTGCAACAGCCTGGCATCTCATCCAGGGTGCAGTCCCTCTTTTTCCCTTGTGTCTGCCTCACCTTCTTTAAGGATAAGACACTAACCTGGAGATCAGATACACCTGGGGAGTTTATGTTCTCTCCATGTTTTTGTGATTTTCCTTTTACATACTGGTAGGTTAATTGGCTTCTGGAAAAAAATGGCCTTGGTCTGAGTGGGTGTGAGTGTGTCTGTCTGTGTGCGCCCTATAATGGACTGGAGTATCCTGCCTTGCACTCTGTGCTTGCTGGAATATTTTATATATATATATTAAAGCAGTCAGAAAATGGATGGATAGATTTTTTTCAATTAATATAATCCCCCTAAAATGTAATCCTGGTGTCAACCTTTATAATAATGTGTAACGCCAAAGGGAAAATGCTGTCGTTGAGATACTGTTCTAAAATAGAGGTTCTATTAGGTGCTGCATTGCACTGTAGTGATAATGTCTTTTAGAAAATTGTAAGAGAGTAAAATGTATTTTTTTATGCAGAGAATAATTTCTCAAATTCTTCCTAGTTGAAATGTTTACTAATTTATAATGTTTGTCTTTTAAATTCCCTGACATAGACAACTTCAGTACTGCTTCATCATTTGTATTCCAATTACCTTTTTTTCAGTGTTGAACACATGTTCTTTCTTTGCCTTAAGTTATAACAGAGCTCTACCTTCCTGTGCTTTTAACCTCCAGAAGAAAGGTTATCCCCACTACATCCTTCCTTCTCACATATGCTAAATGAGGATCCATGTCAGGTTAATGTCTCAGTACTCAGTAAATTCTTTTTGAAATATTTACCATTTCAAAAATAATTTGTTATTATTAAGTTCTTCTCCTGTGATAGCCATAATTGAGCACAGCCTGTTAGATAAGACACTCTTTTTGACTTTTACTCCTGGTGAGCCTGTGGAGAGCCTGCAGTCTCTGAACAATAAACTGCTTGTGCTTCAGCTCCCACTGTGCTGGCCCACTGATTCTATTTCATTTTCAAACTATTGCTTGACATTACAAAACAATGCCATCACAGAAAACCTGAAACATTAAATTATCAAGCATTCAAAATGGGGACAAAAGAAATCAGAGAATTAATGTCAGTTCAAAATGTGTTTTCTATCAGTCAGATTGACCTACAGGACTGGAGCTTGCAGGCACCAACAAAGTTAACTATTTAAGTATTGTAATATAAAAAGCAGATACTTTCAGAATCAGAATCACATTTATTTGCCAAGTACATTTCATGTACAAGGAAAGTACTCTGGTGTATTTGATGCTGCAAAAACATATACACAAACAAGACAACAGACATCATTAAAACAGTGCACTTATTGTATGACGGGGAATTCTGGTTAAGCAAAAAATACATATCTAGAAAAGAAACTGTAACCTGTGTGGGAGGGGTCATCAGCAATCTTTCCTTCCCACTTGCTCTGGAACTGTACAAATTTCAAATGGAGGGCACATGACAGGCAATGATCCTCTTCACAAAATGAACGAAACACACTGCAGTTAGCCTTTGGAGCTTGGAGCTGACAGATTCTTTGCAAAACCAAGCAGTTATAGAGGCAGTTATAATGCACTCAATAATATCTCTGTAAAACTGCTTTAGAATTGGTTTAGTGACACTAATGTTTTTCAGTTGGGGCAAAAAGTATATTCTCTGTTGTTCTTTCTTTGTGATACTGGTGATATTCATGTTCCATTTAAGGATACTGGCAATCATAGCTCATAAACTCATGGCAATCATAAAAGGACTTTACCACCCTCACAGCCACATCTTTGTTTACCAGGGGGAGTGGTTTGGGGGAATCAACCACCATTTCTACTGTTTTAAGGGTATTAAACTCGGAGTGGTTTTTAGCACACAATGAAACCAAACAACTCATCTTGTACATGGTCTCATCATCAAGGGCAATGTAATTGACAAACTTAACTATTTTGACAGAAGAGTCGCTAGAGGTTCAGTTGTTGGTGAACAAGGAAAAGAGGAAAAGGAAAACACATATCCTTGAAGTACACCAGTATTTACAAACAGTCTGACAAATAAATGCTTAGCCACACCTGGTGACTTCTATCTGTGAAAGGATCAAAATCCACTGGCAGATGGAACATTTAATTACATTTAATACTATCATTCTGGAATGATAGTATTAAATGCAGAACTACAATCTTTGCATACACACCTGTGGATTCTAAGTGTTGAAAAATGTAATGAAGATCCACGTTAACGGCATCATCCACTGACCTGTTTATATGTGTGCTTATATACACACTGTAGAAAATTGAGCTGTGAAATAGTTTTGAGATAACAAAGTATCATAAATTTGAAAGTCTTCATTATGAAGCAGTAAGAGCAATTGATCTATAGTCATTAAGACAAGCTATTTTGTCCTTCTTTGGTACAGTAACAATAGTGGAGGATTTAAAGCAGGCAGGATGTTACAATGATGAATGGCTAAATATATCAGTGAACACCTCTGAGGTCTGAATAATGTCTCGATGTAGCAGAAGAGTCCAGGTCTAATTTCTTTCATGCAGTTCTGTCTTGCAAAGAGCTTTTGAATTTCCCATTCTTTGATTATTAGAGAAGGCTGGAGAGGAGAGGGGCAGCTTGAGAACTCAATGTGTGCTACTCGTGGCTGAAAGGAAGAGGGAAGAAATGAGGGCAATGAGGTAGTAGAAATTGATGAGGTAATCAGAATGCAGGGGCTATGATCATTGTTAAAGAGCCTCTGTTTTTCCAAACCTCAGTAAAACCTACTCAGTCTATCTGGCAGAGACTAGTTAGCCATAACATTGGGAGGTTTCTTTTTATAATTTGTGATGATCTGAAGGCTCCTCCAAAGAGCAGTGGGGTTATTTTCTAACTACTGTTCTAATTTATTCCTATATTGGACTTTTGTATGTTTAATTACTTTGCTGAGTTGACATAGCTCTTCTGTAGTTCTCACTGTCTCCATTCCTATAAACCTGTTATTTTATTGTGTGCAGGTTTCTTAGCGCTTTAGTAAACCATGACTTACTGTATCAATATTGCACCTGACAAAAAAGATTTAGAGACAGAGACTAGTTAGCCATAACATTGGGAGGTTTCTTTTATATAATTTGTGATGATCTGAAGGCTCCTCCAAAGAGCAGTGGGGTTATTTTCTAACCACTGTTCTAATTTATTCCTATATTGGACTTTTGTATGTTTAATTACTTTGCTGAGTTGGCACACAGTAGCTCTTCTGTAGTTCTCACTGTCTCCATTCCTATAAACCTGTTATTGTATTGTGTGCAGGTTTCTTAGCATTTTAGTAAACCATGACTTACCGTATCAATATTGCACCTGACAAAAAAGATTTAGATGGAGTACAAGTGTTCTGACTGAATCTCATATAAGAACTGACCACATTAATATATCCATCAATGCTGTCACTTCCATTTGTCACTTTGAAACTTTAACAAGAGCTCTTTCTGTGCTATGCCAAGAATGAAAGTTTAATTGTGATGACTCAGAAAGCTCTTTAATGGCAAGGTAATCACTCAGCTCTACAGAAGCTAGACTTACCAAAAATAGCGATCTTGAAATGGGCCTATAATTACCTTTTATGCCAGGATCAAGATGAGGTGCCTTCAGTGGAACTTGGAGCTGTAGCTTGTTTAACAACAGATGATACTCTCTAAGATCAATGATCAATTTGTCATTTTTATTAGACAAGACATAATTGCAGAAAGGCAGGAGTATGGCAAAGGATAAGGATCAAAGGAGTGCAAGGAGCAAAAGACAAAGGACTAGAAGTAATCAGAAGTAATTTGCACAAATATATGTAAGGAAGCATCACTATAAAGAGCAGTGTCATTTAAGAGTGGATTTCTGTAGCAATGACCAAATGTCACAGAATTCTAGAAATGCATTATTTTGTTTGATGAAGTTAGGGAGAGGATGCAAATAGTTCAAGATGAAATAACCAGTTTCTCAGTGTAGAATTGATGCCTATTATTATCACAACTGTCTTTTATCATCTTTTATCATCAGATTTAGCTGTGTGGAAATCATTTAAGCTTTTTCAATTCTGAGTCCTCATCCCATGTGTGAATACCAGTCACTGGTACACACTAAAAGGGAACAAAAAGGAAGATAAATGAGTATTAAAGAAATACAAAGTCTGTAGATAAACATAACCTATTTTACAAACTGAAAGTACAGGAAATTAAGAAGTGACAATGGAAATGTGATTACAACATAGGAATAAATTAAGGCATAACTGCTACCATTATCAGAAAAATGCCAGGGCATATTTTTGTGTTAAGACAAAGGAACATAAAACATCTTGATTATCCTGTCAATGTGTTTGTTAGTAATCTGTTGATCTCTGTTATAAGATATTATTATTATAACACACTGTGTTTGTCTTGCCTTTAAAGCCATAGGTTATGTAGGTTCCAGCTTTCTGAACTCTTTCAGGTGCAATCTCGTGTTTTGTACTTTGACAGCACAACTGAGCAGAGTATGACCAGTCTGTAAAATATATGCATTACATGATTTTCAAGTGACCTCACGTGATTTGATTATGTTATGCTGATAAACCAATAATAAGGGTTAATTGCTTAGCCCTGGCTGATAAGTTTGACATTTTACAGCAGTGTGTAGAGTAGCCGTTAGAATTTGTGTTTGGAAGGTCGTAAGTTCTAAATCTAAGCACCTGTTATACCCTTGAGTTAAGTACTGTATTTCATTTAAATTGTAAATTTGGGAATTTTTAGAATTCAACATTTAAAAAAGCAGGACCATGATCGGAGCAAGGTATTGACTTTCTTAAATCCTCACCCTGCGGTGTACAGAAAAGAACGTTGATAAAATGTTACCAAATTGCAAATAAAAAACAGTACAATTACAAAACAGAAGACGAAAAGCCAAGACAGGGGGCGCGCTAGGGAAATCAACAGTTTTATGTTCGAGCTTGACTGCTCTGTTTTGTCTTGTCTTTTTGCTTCTTTCATTATACGGAAGTTTTACACAGCAGTACCATGACAACGGTGCGTGATCGTTGTGCTACCGGGAAAATTAAACTCTCTTTTAACAACTGAGAAGTTTTGGTGATTATAAATTTATTGGTAGATGTTGCAATAAACGAACATGCAACGCGAACGAAACGTGAATATGAAGGAGGTGATAGGATCGCTTTGCTACCTGCTGTCCAGACTGGGAGTCGACTCTGTTCCCAGCCCGGAGGCCTTCAGACGGGCCAAATTCGGCAAGGCGGACGGGGTAAGAGATCGTACCCGTATTGTACAGTTTCACTGCAGCTATATTATATTATCAAATCCTAGCACAGGGTGTAAAGGCAGTTTTTCCTGCCTTTACACCCAAGAGTAGTGTAGCTACAGTATATTTAAACAGGATAGAGGCAGATACTGCTAATAATCCTTCTATAATGACCTTAACCTGCTTAAAAGGGGGAAAAAGCTCTTGTTCACCATTCTTATGACCCTAATTGAGCCATAATCTCAATTTAATGCTGGTATTGTACTTCAGCATTTACCTTTTTCTACATCAGGGTGTTAACTTCTGTTCGACAGAGTCAGGAAGTATTAGAGAAAACATGATGATGGTCTATCCTGGACAGCCTGTTCTGAGCTTTTCTTGTGTTCTTATGTTGCTGGAAGTCTTATAAGTCTCATTAAATAAGACATGTCTGGTAGAATTGACCAATAAAGCCCAATAGCGGAGTCAGCTGAATTATTGAAATCTTGGTTAGAACTAAAACCCACTGTACTGTAGCTCTTTAGTCCCAGAATGCACCTAACCAATTCCAGGGCAGATTCAGTGTCCAGCTGAGCCTTTTAAAGCCTTGCACTGCAATAGATTGGAAGGCCCAGTGTTTGACTACCCTTGGTTTCCACCCTCAAATAATTTGTTTTACTTATTACAGTAGAACTCTATGTAAAGTAAACCAGGTTAGAACACAGAACAACAGAATTGCAATTTTCTTCACAACTTGCATAATGTTGTGTGATGGTACATGTGGAGCTTTTCTATTAGCCTAAAAATGTATCTAATTTATATTATATTTACTGTATCAATTTTCTTGTTCTCTTTCAGACTGTTGAGTTTTGGAGGTTTTTGCACAGCTTGTTGGAAAGAGAAGTCAGTTTGGGATGTGATTGCACTGCCTTGCAAGAATCTCATATAGGTAAGTTCTGAATCTGACGGGGAAAAAAAGCAGATGCAAAACAGGACAAAAAAAAAAGATGGCTTCCCTAATCTCCCTGTTTGAGAAGGCATTAAGCCTTTGTGGTTCAGTAGCTGGTGATTGTTGATTAGAGTCTTTGGGTGCAAAGAGGATTTGGCTAGATGGAGACAGATTAGAGATTGGGATCACAGGACAATGATTGACCTTCACCCTTCCTTGCATGGGCGCAGGAGTGAGCTGAAACAGTGAATAATAAAGAGTTGTTTTCCTCCTGCACTTCCCATAAAGCAGCTGCTGAATTTTCTAGCCATGAGAAGACAGATAGGCCTATATGCTGTTACAGATTGCTTTTTGAAAATGTTTGGCTGTGGGCTCTGGAATATTAGTAAAATTCCTTACCAAACAGAATCTGGAAAGGAGAAGGATAAATTGTGAATGGTTGTTTGAGTGCTGAAAGGACACACACTACTCTGTGTTGTCATTTGTGTGCAAAACAGTACAGTTGTGTGCACAATTGTGGGCATTCCTGGTCCGATTGTACAGTATGTTGCAGTAAATCTCTAAGTGAAAAGAAGTTGACAGAACCTCTGCATGGTACAAACTTAAACATGCTATCTTTATGCAAATTTGAATGCTATTTATTAACATTCTTATAGATAAAAATAACCAAACAGTGAATATGACACATGCAAAAGTTTGGGCACCCTGTTAGTCAGTACCTAGTAATAGTTCCTCTAGATAACAACCAAATGTTATCTGTAGCTCGTCCTTGCAGAACTCTTTGAGCTCAGAAATATATTTAAATCTACTTGGATGCTCTGCATGTTTGAAATCACAGATTTTCAAATAATATTTAGTCCCAAGTTTTGGGACTGTGAAGGCCATTCCAAAACCTTAATTTTTCCTGTAAGTACTTCGTGGTTGATTTTGAGGTATCTTTGTGACATATCCAACATCTTTCCAGTTTCAATTTTTTCCACTGATTCTGGGACATTACCTTCTAGGATTTGTTGATATTTGCTTGAATCCATTCTACCTTCCACCCACACAACATTTCCTGTGCCACTGGCTGCCATACAAGCCCAAAGCATAATAGATCCACCCCCATGCTTAATGGTTGGCAGGGTGCTCTTTCCTTCAAATGCTTCACCCATTTTTTTCCAACTATATCTTCTGTGGTTGTTGCCTAAATGTTACATTTTTTCAGCAGTATACGGCACTTTGTTTCAAAAAGTTTCCAGCTTATCAAGGCTTTGTTTTGCAGAGTTTAGACGTTGACTTTTGTGATGAATTCGTAGGAGAGATTTTTCTGGGTCTCCAGATCTTGCCTTGACTTCAACAACTCCTTTTTTTTAAATTTTAAATCATTTATAAATGATGTTTCTGATATTTCCATTTTGTAATTTGTTTGTAAAGTGTTTAGAGACCTGTTTATATGTTATATTCTTTTGTAGGAGTGAATTATATTTGTTTTCAAGTCTCTCAAGAGCCCATGGTTATTGAAAGTAGGCAGAACAACTATCACAACCTGAGAGTTTAGGAGAGTCAGAGTAATTGTTCAACCCTGGAATTGTCTTCATCTCACTTAATTTAAGGCTTAACCAGATATGCCCAAACCTTTGCATGCAAGTGTAACTCTTAGGAAGGTGGTAAGAGCACTGTACAACAGGGCAGTGTATATTTAATGGGTAGAATAGTATAAGAAATCTAGGTAACTTGACTGAAATTGTTGTGGGAGTTTTTGCTAAAGTTTTGATTTTAAACACTATACACAAATTTTCCAATCTGTCTTTGCCAGCAGGCTAAGCCAAGGGTAGTCAAATGCTGGGCTTTCCAATCTGTTCCAGTGCACAGCTTGCAGACAGCTTAACAGACACCTTTAATGAACAGCTCTTGCTATGTATAGACAGGTTATTACACTGAGAGAAACCAACCTAATTATCCAAGCATGAATAGTTTATATCTTTCAGCCTATTGATGATGGACATGCATATAAGCAAAAAACAGCTTGCATCTATACTGAGATCTGCTGCAATATATCCTAGCCTTTCATGTGTTTCTTGGACCATGGAAATCTGTTGTATCTTAGTTTTCCTGAAGAGTATAAACTCCTCAGTAGGCTCTCTAAAAAAGTAATAGGTAAATAAAATGTACTGCACTTTTTTAAAAGTCCCGAAAGGAATGAAAAGATTCATCTTTTTTTAAAGTTTTAGATAAAGTTGCATTAAGCCTAAGTTTTAGTTATTTGTAGACACTCTATTGATATATAAAACCACAAAAAGTCAATCATTTCTTATATTTGTTTAATCTGTTGGTTACCTTTTAAAAATAATTACACAAACAATGCATTAAAGCGATCAATCATTATCAGACAGTGCTAGGTTTTTATTTAGCCTTTAGTTACTTTAATTTTGTGTTCTCTTTCCAGAGAGGCAGGTCAGTGTTGTGCAGTCAGCACTGTGGCACTGTGGCTACGGTGCATTGGAGTTCTATCAGCTGCCCACTGATGGCTCTCAAGGAAGCAGAGAACTGCTGCTGGCATTTTCCTGGCTCCTGTCCAGGGCTGGCCTGTTGGAACACCTGCTGGAGAAGTCCTGCCTCAGGCTGGAGGACATTACGCCCCCCTCTGTGGTAAGAGTGCTAGCAGTATGTCACACTGGAATTGGAGTGTGTGTTGTTGTACAATAATAAGAGCTATACATAGCTGTATTTTGATCTTACAGTACACTGGCTCTCTAAAAATAAACTGAATACCAGGTGGTGAAATACATTACTCAACCTAAATAATTCAGCATACATTGTAATGGTGGTAAAGCTGTTTCAGATCCATATGACTTCATCAGAGAAGCCAACATACAGGGATAGCCTTCTCAGCAATGGCAGTTTTATTAATTATACCCATTGCTGACCATGCAGTGTTGCTACACTGATGGAATGAGCAATTGAATTAAATAATGAGATATCTTGTCCTATTAAAAATGAGTGTCTAGATGAAAACTGAAGAATTATAGCTAAAGAATTCTATATCCCATTTGTCTTGAAGATGCTCAATTAAAGCTAGCCAGGAAAGCTGTCCACAGCTGATGTTTGTACATATTTGTGTTTTGCTGTATTGGGTGTTGTGTGAGCATAACCTGCTAATATCTGAAGAACAGTTGTGCAATCCTATTAAATGTAATACTACTACTAATTCCTTACACTTACAGTGGACGTGGATGATGCGACGGCAGCCATAGTATGCCAGTATGCTCAGCACACATAGCTATTAGTGGGCAGAAGAACAGTGATGAATCATCATAGATGTGGATTGTTAGGAGGTCATGATTGGTAAAGAACAGGGGGAAATTAGGGGTTAGAGATTGGGGTTACCCCTAATCTTTTTGAAAAACAGCTTGGTTTTTAATGCATCATAGGCTGGTACCTTTTTTAGAGTATAGTGTCTCCATCAGTATACTGGGGCATTAGGACACACACAGATCGCAGGTTAAGCATCCCCTGCTGGTCCCACTAACACCTCTTCCAGCAGCAACTTTAGCTTGACCAGGAGGTCTCTCATCCAGGTACTGGCCAGGCTTGCATCTGCTTAAGTTCAGTGGGAGTTGCACTTGTAAGTGAGACATGTCAATGAGTCAGGCTTTTCCAGTTATAAATAATTTAAACTGACTGGTGATAATGGGATGTTCCACCACTCATTCTGCATCAGTTTGTTAGTGCAGTAGCACTTACTACACAAATAACAATAATCACCACAGTAATCCAAGTAATAATAGACATCTAATAATCTTTTTCTACATCACCTTTCAATGTACTATACGTAAAATAACAAAAAGTAACGAAAGAGACAGGTGTGACTCACAAGATGTAATATGGGACATCATTCCACAGTCTTGGAGCAACAGTACAGAAAGTATGATTTCCCAGTGTTTGGAGCCCCATATTAAGAATTGAGGGTCAACAAAGCACAAAACATGTATAGGGTGTTCAAAATGTTCAAGCGCTAAAGGTCAACAGCAGTATTGTGAATCTCAAACTGAAATCCTTATGGACTTGCTTTTGGATGTTGTGCCCTTGTCTGGAAATTCAGCTCATAGTGAAATGCCTAGAACCCCATTCCATTGCCTTCTAGTCCAATGGTGGTAGCTTGATGGACATTCTAATAATACATGTTATACATTCTATATAAATTATCTGCTGTGATTTCTTTGTGTTCCAGAAAGAGACAAAAATAGCTCCAATTAAAAAAACTCTAGAATTGTAGCTTTGGAATTCTTTGTTTTTAACTTTTTCTCTTATTTGAATGCAGAAGTATGTTCTCCTCCTGGAGTAGAATCTTCCTGGACCTGTTTGAACTGCTCATGTGCTTCACTGCTTCTGAATGTTTGTATAGATAATGAATACTCACAATTAAAATAATCGCGTTGGCACAGTACATTGATTCAAACAATAGTGAAATCATCACCACATCAGCTAAAGCAATTAATGAGCACTTCCCACAAAATGGTGAAAACCATAGATGCAGATAATTACATGTAAATAGGCAGTGTGTGGGTCGTCCTTTATTTTTATCCTTTCCCCTTGTTGGTGTTCAATCCAGAATGTCTTTGTGACAGGCTGAGCGAATAAGGACTTCTGAGTTATGTTTTGGTATCCAGTATTAAAAAAGAAGAGGAACAGAGAACCTGGCTCAGTTTGATATCTATTGCTAGTTCTGGCTTGGTTTGCAATCCCTCCTACTTGGAATGCTGGCAGCAGTCCTGCTCCTCAGAACCCTACTGCAGATAAAACACTGTTTAAACAGGCCGTGGCACAGCTGTGGCTGGTCCAGGGCCTTTAATTACCCACAGCTGTGGCCCCTCCAGAAAGCTGTGGTGCTGACAGCCTGTCTAAATGTCACAATTCTGTTTGTCGCACCATAGAAGAATATCTTTAATTTCCCACTTTTCCATGTGGACATACATTTCATATGAGTGTAACATTGAATTGAATGGTTGTCTGAAACATCAGGACAAACTGGTTGGGCACTGTATGACACTGTTAAAAATATGTTAATCAATAATTCCTAAATTATTCATATTTTATTTAGCAAAGAAATGAGCTTTATGAGGCCTGTCTTAAAAATATTTTAATACAATTCTATTGGAAGTTTATTGTGGTAGCTAAAAAATAAGAGATAGTTTTTATTGATTGTTAAACTGTATTGGCATTAGAACTTTTAAATTTTTTTTGGAGAGAAGTATTCATTGACACTTAAAGTTTTTTTTTAACTTTGATAGATAGATACTTTATTGATCCCGTGAGGGAAATTGCAGTGCAACAGCAGCTTTACACAGACAACATAGCCACAGTGTAACGAATGATACAATAATAATAATAGTAATAATAATTATATAACAATTATAATAATACATATAAATATAAATGTATTGCATAGGTCCCTGGCATATATTGCACAACAAACAGTTGTGAACGTGAAAAGAAAGAGAGCAGATGTAGCAGTAGATGTGTTTAGTCCAGAAACAGGTCACTGTCAATGTTGCCTCTGCCCAGACGCAAGGTGGATGCGTTGTACAGTCTTATGGCAGAAGGCAAGAATGACCTCCTGTAGCGCTCCCTGTTGCACTGTGGATGAATCAGTCTATTGCTGAACGTGCTCTTCATTTCTACAAACCTGTCATAGAGGGGATGGGAGATGTTGTCCATGATGGCCTCTAGTTTGGACACCATTCTCCTCTCAGACACTATCTCCAAGGGGTCCAGGTCAGACTCAATGACAGGGCTTGCTCTCCTGATGAGCTTGTTCAGCCTTTTTGAATCCACTGCTCTAATCCCAGGGCCCCAGCATACCACCGTAGAAAATGGCGCTCGCTGCCACCAACTGATAGAACATATGAAGTATCTTACTACATACATTGAAGGACCTGAGCCTCCTCAAGAAGTAAAGTCGGCTCTATCCCTTCTTATAGATGGCCTCGATGTTCTTAGACCATTTCAGTCTGTCGTCGATGTGGATTCCCAGGTACTTGTACGAGTCCACCATCTCCACGCCACTCCCATGGATGTAGACAGGAGTAGGTTTGACCTTTTTCCTCCTGAGATCAAATCAGTATGGAAATCCAAGCTAGCCTAAGTTGGTTCATCAGGCAAATCCTAACTTAAATTGTGTATTTAGCATTTTTCATGGACAATATAGTAAGAATGAATAACGAACATGTGTAATAATATTCTAACATGAGTACGACATTACCTCTTATGAACTAAAAATAAAATCCATAAAAATACAAACCATAACAGGAATGCTTTAACAGAATTATTAAGGAAAAAATAAGATTTATGGTAAGTACTAAGCCTGTACTATAAATATACGATTACACTAATTACTATTATGATACTATATATTACATTAATGTATTATTATATTAGTATTATTGTAACATGAAAAATGTTTTATTAGAATTTAGTATTAATCAAACTAAGTTTAAATAATGTAAATTGCTACAGTAATTGGAGTGCAATGTTCAATCCCTTTTAAAATAGAATTTAGTTAATCTGCCATTTTGATCTGTTTTTCAAAGGATCGTATGCACTCTTGCCTGTGCTGAAAGTGTCTTTTAGTATTATTTTAGCTGTGTTAATCTGTCTTCCTTCTCTGCTACGCAGCTATTCGACTGCTGAAAAAGAAATTATTAGAGCAGATGTTTCGCTTCAGCTTTATTTCATTTTCTCCAGTTAACAATGAACCTGAACAAATCTGTCACTCGGTGACAACTGAAAGCAATGTTGTGTTTAACTGTTTACTTTTTACTTTTTGTATGCTTTTAGGTAAATTGCTTATTTAAATTGAGCACAAATCTAAAGTTCTTTAATCATAGGGTTGCAAATTCTTTAATAATGGCATTTGTTAGTTCACAGAATTTTAAACCTTAATGTTGTACACAAGGCATGAATGATTAAAACATAATTCGCTGAAATATTTAAGGAGTTTTGAGTATAGGAATTCTCTTTGCGATGCAGTTGTATTTACCATTAAGGGTAAAATCTGAAGGATTTAAGAAGTGACATTTCAAGGACAGCCTGGTGTTTATAGTGCAAGTGTTCATCACTAGCCAATAACTATGGTTGGATTTCTGTAAAACTAATATGTCATTCTCAAATGACTAAACAGCAGGATTTGTGATCTCAGGAGCCTGAAGTCTGTTTCTGCTGGTGCAATTCATGCATGTTAATTTTGTGCTAGCAGAACTCTTATCTTTTGACACAAAGGTTTCTCACATCTTCTCCTCAGACACCTACAGAATTCTATTGAGAGAGATAAAAACTGCTTAATGAATGACACATAAGAGAACTGTCAGCCTGAGCAATTGGGATATGTTCATATACTTACATGCCCAAGATGTCAAGCTGGTTCCCAGTTGGTATGAACATTTAGAGCTCCCCAAATCAGGGTCCCCAAAGCACTTGTGGAGGGGTGGGGAGAATTTAGTTTAAATTGAGCTAATGTAACCCTATTCCCCCAGGTCTTGTGCTATTTAATCAAACAATTGTATAAAGAGTAAAGACATCTGGTGCCGATTGGTCTGCATTTTCATTCTGGTTGTTTTCATACAAGGTTGAACTGCTCTCGCCGTGGGTCT